GCTCGCAGATTTCGGAGGAAGTGGCTGAATGCGGCAGGAGCGCCTGCAGCAGGAGTGATCTTGATCTTTGAACCGGTGAGTGAGTATGTCTTTGTCGCTGGTTCGGCGGCGCTTTTTCCCGGCCCGCCCCGCTCTACGGGGCGTCGAGGAGCTGTGGAGGGGCAGCATGTGGGACTCGGACACACCCATCAAGGAGCGCAAAGAAAACCTCAGTCAGTAGGCACAATAGCTTACTTCAAGTGCGGATCTTCACAGGTGAATGCATGTGTGCCTTTGTTTGTTGGTCGTCTTTGTGCCAGATACGGGAGATTCATGGCCGGCAGCTTTGCTTCGTCTCAAGTCGTTTGAGGAGCTGCACAAGCTGTGGTTCGTGCTGCTCAAGGAGAAGAACCTGCTCATGGGCGAGCAGGCCGCCGCACGGGCACACAACATCAACATGGAGGGACACGGGAGACTCAAAAAGGTCCGACAGATAGCACCACACCTGGCACATGGCAAGGGGGGCAAAAGCCCGACCGGCTCGTCTGTGTGTGTGTGTGTGTGCAGGTGAAGATGTCGATGAAGAGGATCCTCACTGTGCTGTCGCGACGGGAGATCCACCAGCAGTGCCTCCGGGCAAAGGAGATGCTCAAGAAACAGGTACCGACACACAGCAAGACAGACGAATGCCATGGGAAGCCCATCTGTTGCCTTTGTTGCCTGCCTGCCTGCCTACGTGTCAGGAGGAGCGTGAGTCGCTCGAGACCCGCCGCTTCAAACTGGAGGAGCAGATCAAGATGCTCGAACACAAAATCGAACGGTATGTTTGTGACGCGACGGGCACATGCACACAGAGAGCAGCGTCATTTTCCCTCTCTTTCTTTGTATATGTGTAGGTTGGGCAACACCGAGTCGCTGCAGAAGGCTGCGTGGAAGACCACTCTGCAGAAGTACCGGGCCGACCACGAGCAGATACTCATCGACCTAAAGCCACTGCGCAAAGGTGCGCACATACACACACACACGCTAAGGGACGACTCAGCCGCTGCTCACATCATTTTGTGTGTGTGTGTTCAGCGACGATGTACATGTTGACGCCCGACTGGCGGTATGAGCGGAAGTACTCTGACCTGCCGGGCCGCATCACCTGGAAGAAGCAGTACATCCGGGCGCTCGAGGAGTCCATCAAACACAGGAAACCCATCCGCTTCTACTAATTGACGGATGGATGGATGGATGGATGGCGTGTGATGTATCGGACCAGGGGGTCATGTTGATTGTACAGGCAGCTGCTGGTGGGGTGAGAGAAAGTGATGTGGCGTCTGCCAAGAGAGGCAGCATGAGAGATGTGTGTAGAGCTGAGTGAGGGTTTTATCTGTGGGTGTGTGTGGTTTGGTCATCCTGTCTTGTGTGCCGCTCGACAGTGATTTTGGGTATAGATCCTCCGCGTTGAAGGGCGCCCGAGTGCTCCTCCTAACGTGAGCACTCGGGAACCGTTCAGCGCCGATCGCCTTTCCTCAACGTCACACGGCAGCACCACTCGTACGGAGATAGCGCTTGTGCACCATGGATGGAGGGCCGGTCTGTCTGTCTGTCTGTCTCGGTGTCTGCCGATGGATCGATGTCAGCAAGTGACGTCCATTGCGACGCGCCCCTTTCACCTGAACACGAAGGGATTCTGAATGTCGCTTCGTGTCTCGATGGACCAGCCTCGTCTTGATGGTCGCCCGCCACAGCTGGCTGCCTGTAAGCATGGTGTCTGTCACATATGTGAGAAAATGACGTGAGAATATGACTGACGTCAACATGTATAGACCGAAGTGATAGGGGTCGTGGATCGATTTCAGAAACGGATCGACAGACACGTGAAGCGATGACAGACAGACAGCATCCATCGCTTGTCAACCAACATAAAGGTGACCACACACGAACAATCTGTCCGGCTGTTCGTATCCCCAGCACCCGCTCCACCCGACACGAACGAACACGGAAAAAACCCGATAGATAGAACGGATCCACTCACTCCACAGACCGTGTGCTCACTGTCAATACTCGGTCAAGTCGCATCTCCACTTCGCCCAAACCTTCACACACTCCGCACTCATCCATCCATCTATCTATCCATCTAGCTACCTGCTGACATGCAATGGATGCCTCATCTCTCTCTGACACCCTTGATGCACTCGTCGTCCACTCAGTCACTGCCCTGCCCTGTCTTACCTGGAAAAATCAGTCGATCATCGAGGTCTACGGGAGACATCTCGTGCACCACCACCGCCAACAGCCACAGCCACGGACGTATGTACGTACAAATATGTACTCACTCGCCCCATTCATTCCCCCCCCCCCCCC